GGGGGGGGGGGGGGGGGGGGGGGGGGCATCAGAAAACTTTCCAACACCTTGTGGTTCTTATGCCTCATCATATCCTACTTGTTATTTTGACCAAAGTTGGTCAACCAGTGAATATGCCACACTGACACTATTTCATGCTTCAGAATAAATAATTAAAAATACAAGTTAACCCATTGATGCACAATGTGTACTGACTTTTTTAATACTATTATAGAATATTAAAAATATGCCCCACTGACTTGGGTTACCTCACCTATACTGGAAATACTTACTGTATTATAATGAGGTATTTGTTCCACACATGGAATAATCAGCAAGCTTAAACTACCAAAATGTTCTTTATCAGCACTTTTTGCATCTATACATAACTTGTTAGTATACTAATAGTTCCAAACTATTAACCTTTTATACCATACTTGGCGTAAAGGTACGGTTGGAGATGATAAATTATTATAATTAAGGGAATTATAATTAAAGAAAACATTATGCATTCTTGTTAATATATCAAGCTGATGCAACAAACTTAAAATCGTACGACATTTTAAACTATAGAACACCACAGGTGACAAAAAATTAATGTACATGTTGAACTTTATTTACTAAAATCAATTTGAAAAATTCAATTCCTAACTCTTTTAGTAGGAAAAGAAAATCAAGTATGTCTCTAAAAAATGTCTCAGTATTACTTGTCTTATATTGTACATGACTCCCGTTTTAAAAAATGGAAGGTTTGTTTCTTATACTTATTTCACAGTTTTCTTGGAATCAAATAGTGTGGTGTGGTAATTGTTGGTCAACAACTACCCATGGTATCTTTATATTCTTGGAATGGGATAGTGTGGTGTGGTAATTGTTGGTCAACAACTACCCATGGTATCTTTATATTCTTGGAATGGGATAGTGTGGTGTGGTAATTGTTGGTCAACAACTATCCATGGTATCTTTATATTCTTGGAATGGGACAGTGTGGCGTGGTAATTGTTGGTCAACAACTACCCATGGTATCTTTATATTCTTGGAATGGGACAGTGTGGTGTGGTAATTGTTGGTCAACAACACCATGGTATCTTTATATTCTTGGAATGGGACAGCGTGGCGTGGTAATTGTTGGTCAACAACTACCCATGGTATCTTTATATTCTTGGAATGGGATAGTGTGGTGTGGTAATTGTTGATCAACACCTACCCATGGTGTCGTTATAATTAATAATTATTCTTTTTTCAACATCAATCATTACGAACAGTTGATAGCACAGTTACATCATTTTTGTCCTTCCAGCACATTCCAGTAACCTTTCCATGCTGATATGTAATGATTTCTCCTTTCTTGAATTTTTTTCTTCTTCAAGTCTGGAGGCACTTCTATTCTTATAAGTTTTACTATCACATATATGTCAGTGGTGTGAAAAATAAGTATGTCTGCTAGTTGTTGGGCAAGTGTAAAAATTGCCCATTGTTATGCATAGCCCTTGTCTACTAAAGGTTTCAATAATGACAATCACAATCTGTAAAAAGAATTTTGTAATCTTCATCAACAACTATCCCTTTTCCTGTGTACATAAGACTTGACCAGATGTATCCCATTTTGATTCACAAAGCATAAACATCTTGATACCATATCTGGCCCTTTTTCGAGGAATGTACTGGACCAAACCAGGTCGTCCTTTGAATACTATAAGACTAATTGATAGTAATATCTCTGTTTGTTGTATAAACCATCTTGAATTTATCATTTAGATACTAAAAAAAAAATATCCTTTTCTTATTCAGCTTTGGACTTGGGTGATTTTCTGGGTTATTAGTATCAGTGTCAGAGAAGTGAAGGTACTGTTTCAAAATTAAAAACCTTTCATAAGTCAATTTTGGAGGGAAAAAAAATGTGGTAATAAGAGATTTTCTTGGAAGAAAAAAGTAGCTGTTCAGGTTAACACACAATACTATGTAAAATTATGATGACAAGAAGTGTGTATATCTTGTCATTTGTTGTGGGATGCCACTTACTGTAATGAGATTCATGAAACTTGCATGCTTGAAGACACTGAGCTGCATAGCAGTTTGTTTTTGTTAACATATCTAATATTACATCATCCAAAAAATACCCAAAAACTGTATATTGTCACCATTACGATCAGTACTGATATAGAGTGAAGAAGCACAATGAAGTTGGAACCTAGGTGGAGAAAGGGGAAGTTGCCTGGTAGTGTCTATTGTGCACCATACTCGAGATCGTAATAAAGTAGCATCAGCATTGTCACTGTCTAAACTACTCTGTTCTGAAATACACTTCCAAAAAAGCTGCTTTCAATTTCATCCCAATGAACGTCACTTTCAACATCCATTTCAGCAACTAAAAATGAAACACAAATAAAGCAAAAGCTGATTTGCAAGTCACAAACAGAAAATATGACTTTCCTACCAGAAAACAAGGTATTCTACTGAATAGAGTACTGGATACATAATTCAGAATAAATCTGGCAGAGATCAGCAAAATTAGCACAGTGAGCACTGATAATAATAATAATATATGATAAATATGAGCAAACAATAAAAAAATATAATCAGAAATGGTTTTCCTGAATTAACTCAAGCAAATATTTTTTGACACATAGGTGGTACCCAAGTTATCTCGGGTAAATTGTCGAAGAGTTTAAAAACAAATATCTGTGAAGCTGTCGGCACATATTTCTAATTTTTCTAGGAAATTTTAAGCTTATTGTAATGTAAACTAACAAGTGTAAAAGGCTCCCATCTCTATAACCAAAAAACTAGTACACCTCTGTTCACATCTTGGAATAGCTCTCTTGGTCATTAACTGCAATAAGAGTAACATTGAAAAGTGGAGTAATGTACTTTGTCAAACTGCTAAGATAAGTGAAGATAGCACTTATTTATAAAATTAAGTTTAACATGTTAAAAGAAATGGTTTAGTAATTGTAATTAAGCATAACACATTCTCCTTAATAATTTGTACCTTTATTGAAAAATTCTATCAGTCTGTCACTGAAGTTGAGTGATCAACTACTTGCACAAGTTACCCTCAACTCTTGGGTAAAAATTTAATCAAATAGTGGGATTTCAACATCACTCTTATAATGTATTCATGACACCAAAGTGTGGACAGTGATTTGTTTTATTTATTTTTTGCAGTAACTGGATGTAAACCATGGTTCCTTGGGTCCACAGCCCAGTATGCTCTGCCAAGCACCACTGAAATACAGTTTTAACATTTTAATAGTCACATGAAGAGTAAAGAGTATTACGTTTCTAAAAGAACTTTGTACTTGTGTTATGGCTTCTTGTTTTTACTTTCATATATAACCAACTGACCTGTATTTTGAAAAAAATACATATTTGCAGATTGTAAAAACAATACTGTATATTCTAAGAATAATTACAATTCAAGCCATATGATATGTCAAATTTTACTAAACGTTGCCCCCTGACTGAATGGCTATGATTTACGAGATGAACTGTTCCATATCACCAGGCCCTGAGCAAGCAGTTGTGGATATTGTTTCCTAATTAATGTGGTTATGCGAACAGAAGTCACGCAAAACTCAACACACAGTTTGGACCTATGGAAGTATGGATGTTATATGTAAAATCATCTCTAAATATCTGTTTGTTTCAGTAAAGATATTGATGTAAAAGTATGATAATATTTTAAGCAAAATTTTAATACCTCTAACATTATTAAAGTTTTATGATGTCAATGTATTACTTCATGTTTAAATACTAATAATTAGTGGTTAAATTGTACTTCAATTTTATGCTATCCAGATGTATACTTTTTCAATATAAATAAATTATTTGCTTGTAAACTAAGCTAACCTGAATTATATCTTATAATTTTCCATAGGCTGCTGTAAAGTATACCACAGTGTAAAAAACCCTACATTACATGCATTAGTCAGTGAAGTAATTAAAAACAGGAGCCAACACCCAAAGAAACCAAAAGATGTTGTAGTACATAAAGTATTAAATAACCTAGAAACACACAAAGAAAAGTAACACACACTTTGACACAAATTTAGTATAGTGTCTTACATAAGATAAGGTAAATAAAAAAATATCAAGCATAGAGAATAGCCTAAGCAAAGAATTACACCATGATAAAAAAAAATTATACCTAAAGCAAAATACTACAAACATTTAAAATAGCAGCAATACTGACAAATTTAGGTTCAGACTATCATATATAGCACTTATTATTTTATAGCATTTATTGTTGGCTTTTATTTTCAAATTCACCATTCTATTTGTGAAACTTACCTCTAGTGAGCAGTTTATCTAAATCCCTAACAATTTTAAACACCCGAAAACAAGTCACTTCTAGTTCTTGTATATTTCAGTAAAAACAAGTCTAAATCTTTTAAAATCTAAATGAGTGTTATCTGCACTAGCTGCTTGAAGTAATAAACTAGGCATCTAGCCAACACCACTCGCTGTAAAGTGTATACTGGCATTTGGTCGGCACTTACATAATGCACTGAAGACACCGAAGTGTGAAAAGTGTAATGGGATGCAAGTCACTGCGACACAGATCCACAGCCTAACACATCAACCATTAACCACAGGACACAAGAATCAATCAATGACACAATAATATATTCATTCTTAAGTTCTTATTTTTCAGAATTAAACGATAGCCAAAGTTTTTAGATCACCCATCTACCCTGTCTTGAACATTAGCCAAATCAATGGGTCTTGGTTAGGCCCAAATGCACAATGGGGGGGTACCAACTACTACATTGGTGGAGAAGAGTGAAAGTGTACACACTGGGACTTGATAGATGACAAACTATTCCTGGAGAGCATGAAGAAAAACTCTGGTGGTGGTCTGCAATAATTTTGGCATGAAAATTAATTGTCAGACCTCAGTACAGGAATTAAAGACCAACTAAACTATCTAGCAGCTGGTTTTCAGACTTAACAGGTGAGAAGTCTGGCTTGCTCAACTGAAGTCAGATGTCAGGATGCAAGTGCCCACTAGTTTATTTTTTAAAGCAGAACTGGCACTGTGGGATGAACCAAAAGCTGAATTATGTTACGAGATGCAAGACACTTGTCAGCCACCTTATCAGACGTATGATGTCTAAGAAATTTTGTAATATCAGGGCTGTTACTAAATGGAATAATGGTACAATAATCATGGGAGAATTTAATTTTATGACCACTGATTGGGACTGTGTGGAGTCAAAGAGTTAGGAGGAGAGGTTTCTTGAAGTGATTAACAATAGTTTTCTATACCTGATCCGAGATGGTCAGACAAACAACTAGAGAGAATTCACTAACCACTAATGAAGATACGGTTACAAAAGTTGAAGTGGGGGGGGGGGGGGACATTTACGGTAGTGACCATTATATAATTAGGTTAATATTTTGCTACATGCAAATATAAAGAAAAAGGAAATTTCTTAATTTTTAGAAATCCAATTAATTAGGTAGCCATTAGACAAGACTTATCATTAGTGAGTTGGGATAGTAAGTTAAATAGTGATGTGGAACAGATACGTGATTTTTCTTAAAAAATAAATTGCTGTTAATTCAGTATAGATACATTGCTATAAAAGAAGAGAACAACATGATAGATCAATCCTAATTGGTTACTATGTATAAAAAAACAGGAGATAAATACCTAAAGTTTAAAAGTTAGATTGACAGATTGGATGGAAGACTTATAGGAGTAAGCAATCTGGTGATGTGGTTAAAAAAAAAAGTCTTATGACAAAAGGGTGAATCATGTAGCAGTCTTTCATTCATTAGAAATCTCACTAAACTTTAATACCTTCAATACAACGAAGTTGTTTAAAAACAACTTTCTGTTATGCAGTAAAGTAATTACAGCTTTTTATTGAAACTATAAACTGGGCTGAATAGGAACCTTGTGCACTCATTAAAAAATTATAAAAACAAAAGTGAAATATATGGGCTGAATAGGAACCTTGTGCTCTCATTAAAAAATTATAAAACAAAAGTGAAATATATGGGCTGAATAGGAACCTTGTGCCTCATTAAAATTATAAAAACAAAAGTGAAATATATGGGCTGAATAGGAACCTTGTGCTCTCATTAAAAAATTATAAAAACAAAAGTGAAATATATGGGCTGAATAGGAACCTTGTGCACTCATTAAAAAATTATAAAAACAAAAGTGAAATATACTGAATTTTATGGTATTTCTAACTTATCCTTATAGGTTAAGGGTTTTCATAAAATGTGTGTGCAAGTGCTGGAGGGAGAGAAAGCTAATAATAAGATTAGAAAGATAAATATTAGGGACATGAGAAGATGTTAACAATATTCCTGACCCTGAGCATTATATGGGAAATATTGGAATTGACCTGAATCATCTGGCTATTAATCCACTAATGTTACATAAAATGACTGAAAAATTTAAAATAGATATAGCTCCAGGAACAGATGTTTTTACCACAATTTTAAGAAGGTCAAAGGTCAGATAAGTTAGCCGAGTTCTCCCTCATTTTTGGTTGGTCAACAGACAATGTACAGGTGCCTGAAGATTAGAAAGTTGCTGATGCTACTGCCTATTAATCTTACTCCTCGAGTGAAAATCTCTACTCTGAATTGTGTACTTGTTAATCCATCAATTTTCATAGATCACACAGCCCTGGATAATTTCAGCAAGTGGGCAAGAACTTAAAAAAAATATATATGATTAAATATAAAGAAATGTAAAAGAATTCACTTGAAATATTGAACACTTTGAAAGGGTATGCATATTCTTATGTGAGGAAAGTTGGTACTGCAGACAAAAAAAAAACACTTAGGTATGACCTTTTAAAACATAACATACAAACAACAAGGGACCATTTGTTCCTTCAAGAACATTCTTGAACACCCACCCACAGGGAAAATAAGTTTTAAATCCACCTTTTACTTTACATGAACTAACTGACTCCCTTCTTAAACTCCTGCAAGGTGCTGACCTCTATTAATACCAACTAAAACTCATTCCATAAGTTAGTCACTGTGTTAAAAACAATCTTAAACATGGGACCTCTTATTCTATTATCTTCAGAATATACCACAAAGAAATCAGAGGCCTTTAATCTATCAATCCTCCGAGATAATCCTGTAAACTTCAGTAAGATTATCTCTTATCCTTCTTTTCTAAAGAAGAAAAAAAGTAAGAGATCTTAAACCATCCCTTTAAGATAACCTTTCACCTCCAAAATCATCCTAGTAGCCCTTTTCTCAACCCTTTCCAATATTTCAGTACTTTTAGTAGATAGGGAGACCAAAACTACATACAGTATTCAACATATCTCTGAGATAACCCCTCCATCCCCCTAAAACTGAATGCATAAAGGAAAAGGAATCAGGACAGAAAGAAAAATTATAAAATAGTATCCTATTCAATAATTTGCCCCCTGTGGGAAAACAAAATATCATAACTATAGTATCTATCTCTTATTTTCATAGCCTAAATCACTTATTTTGGTATTAAAACACTAAATAAACTCAAACCTACCAATTAAAATTTGTCTAAATGATTATCTAACCATTATAGTGAAAAAAAAATGTATGCAGTTACATACATTTACTGTTTCTTAGATCAAATAGTTAATTATGAACACAAACATAGAGAAACATTCAATATAAAAAAATATATATTTACATATGTGAAAAACTTGGAAATATGTATAATGGCTATTAGAACAGGTAATCTTTTCAAATTAGTTAACTTTAAACTCATGACTTGTAGAGACAGATTAATTATGACTATATTAACATTCTGCTGTCTTAAAAGAAGTAATGTATTTAACTACAATATAAACATGGTCTATCAATTACCATTCATGTACCTACCTTACTGTTTAATGAATTTATCTCCATGAGAATATAATGTATACACTCACATTATTGGCAGATATATAGAATAATACTACCTATATTTTTACACCCTTCATCTGAGAACATATAAATAGGACAGGTGAAATAAACAAAGATATCATACTCTTTTTATAGATCATTTCTTAGCTAGAAGTATTAAAAAGTTTCACCATGAATTTCAGTTCAAATATCTTATGTATAGCATGTTTAAGATTTTTACACATCTACCTTAAAAAATATACCATGTTACACACTTTCACATGATCACCAACACTCTCACAGACCATATTTAAAACAACTTGTTAAGAATGTGAGATACATACATATATCACTGTCTAAATGTCAGACTAACTCTTGAATTAACATATCACATGTTGTAGCTGTTGTGTTAGAATGACTAACAACTGACAATGTTGATTCTTTTTATAAATTTTTCTAATTAGTTACTCAATATACTTAAATCAATTTGTAACTGATTTGACTCGTCTATAAAGTTTAAGAACTGTTGATGTCACACTGTGAAGCTGACAATGATCTCAGAATTATTTAAGTGTTGTGTTTTAACTGCTCTAAAAAATGAACTGATTAGCAAACACTCTACTATTTCAGAACAAATTACATTAACTTATTAAGTAATTCAAACAAGCTGACATATTAAGATTACCTCCTCTGCTAAATATTTAGAATTTTCAATCCTCATGTATGCAATGTTTACGTATTTCTTTAGCTGCTATAAAGCATCAAAAATTCTAAATTTTTATATACACTATTTGCTTCATATAGTATGGCCAAGCAAGCAAATTGTGACTGTAACTGAGTTTTGATGCATGACACATGCAGTGATACATACATATAAAAAACTAGGGATATTATACAACAAGAAAAAATGGTATAAACAGCAGTTAAAAAACTTTCAACTGGTTAGGTCCTCAAATCAAACCTTAATCAGATATCTAAGTAACTGTAATGCTTCTAATATTAAACACACTTTGGTTGAAACTAATGATTTCTACATTTCTGGTTGATACTGACAAGAAAGTGAAATAGTTTGGGACCAATCTTTTTTTTTTACTCTAGTTGGATGAGCTCTTTTTGAAGAGTAGAACCTTTGCACCTAATTCCTGGGTTTGCCCTAAAAGTATTTTATCTGTGACTGAAAGTTCATGTTTAAAACCTAATCATTTATTTTTAATGTCTAAAAAATAATTATACATGCACATATATTTAACTGCACTTCAATCTACTGTTTACAAGCTTTCACCAAAAAACAGATATATATAGATAATAATTGCTAATATATTAACAATAACCAAAATTGACTAAGTAAAATCAGAGCAATGCCAAACACTTACTTACTCTTTATAGTAAAATAACTTAAAGGATGTTTATTAAAACTGAATAGAAAAATATGTAGAACAAATAACTTTACTTACTTGAGCTTTGCCTGCCTTGCCTTGGATACTGTACAACTGTCATTGAAAATAAAACATTCATTTTCTTGAACTGATCAAAAATGATTAACACTAGTCTATTTATGAAACTGTTAAAGATAGGCAACCTAAATTAAGTTACATATATATTTCTTAAACACAGAAAAAAAAACATTAAATTATTTTTTAAATATTCAACATAAACTTATTAATATTAGTATATAATACCATGAACACTTAACGAATTTCTATATAATTCAAATAATTGTGCTTGCTTGAAAAATAGAAAGAAAAAAAAATTCTGTAAGTATAATGCAGTCATATAAATCTTCGATGTACTCAATATCCGCCAAGTCAACTCATTTGCTAATCCCGAATTTTAGCGAACTAACATTATGATTCACGGTGTAGTCGAACTAGCACAGTGCCATTACTGTACTAATAGTTACACTAAGTAGATTGACTAATTTCGAAATTAGGGTTAGCAATACAACCTAGTCAATTTCAATTTTTTTTATGTTCAATAATTCAATTTATTAATTATTTGAAATTACGGGTTCTGATGTACAATCAACCTTCTTCTGCTGTACCGCTGTCGCCGATATCAGTTTATGTGAATAATTTCTTTTCATTTGAAAATACCCATAACATTAACAGTAATTAAGGTTCATCATGAAAACCTGTAACTTACGAAAAGTTAGGTTCTGGGCCTAGATGCTATATTAACTATATTACTTTGTTAGTCTAGTATATATGATTAATTTAGAATGATCAAGCAACATAGGCCTAACTTATAATTTTTACGTTTAGATATTAATATTACCAAACCAATTTTTAATACAAACAGATTTCGACAAACATAAAAACATTAATATAAACTGTAAAATAATAATATGATTTGCATTTTATTCCTTACCGTATTTTGTTGATGCAAGCTTTCCGGATTTACGTACGGTATTTACTGCTTCTGCAGTATAAACGAAACAGCAGATCAAAAACACTGCTATCCCTCACACCAAGTACGAAAGCACTACTAGGAGGCGTTCCATATAATGACGTCTTTGATATGTGACCTGGGCTTGAAAATAACGCACACAGTCAATTTACTATTTTGTTTCTACGAAATTATGAAACTCGGAGTTTAATTAATTGTCTATTTAATGAAATATCTGTCATTCAATAAGTAATCTAATTAGATAAGACAGTGTAGGTTTAATTACTAATAATTAATGGCTTAAATGCAATTGGCCTTCTGTATCATAGGCCTGGCATGTCCAGGTGGATAAAGCGCTCAACTTGCGAGTCACAGGTTCGAACTCCCGTCCCGCCAAACATGCTCGCCCTTTCAGCCGTGGGGGCGTTATAACAGTCAACCCCACCCTTCGGTTGCTAAAGAGTAACCCCAAAAACTGGGATTGAGTGACGATGAGTAGCTGTCTTCCATCTAGTCTATCATTGCTAAATTAGAGACGGCTGTTGCAGATAGCCCTCGTGTAGCTTTTCGCAAAATTCAAACTAAACTTTACAATCATAAATAGCCACTGAAATGTTTTAAAGAATAAAGAAATAAACACTGTGATTACATATAAAACCGTACTTTGTTGAAGATACAAATACAATTTTCTCATCAGAGCTCTTTTCATAACCTATTGTATGTAATGTTTTGAAAACTTGTGTACTTGAAAATGATCACCCCAATGATTCAAAAGTTGTATTTGTTTTTAAAAAGCTGTAACTTTTAATATAAAAAAAAATGCTTATAATCAGTAAGCAAACTGAAACGAAACTGTTTGAAGAATAAAATTCTCATTTGACTTCTTTGGCTCTGAATTCTGGGTTATTGTGTCATGATATTAGTGGAAGAACAACTGAGCTATAATGGGTTTGTTTGAATCGAGCTTTATTATTATTATTTTAGTTTTTGAGTTATTTTATTTTACTTTGAGGTGCAGCTCTTGTGGCCAGATTGATCATTATAAGTGTTTGTATTATTATGTGTCATTAGTTATAACATCATCTCCTTTGCCCATATACCAGTATATATATATATACAAGCAATATGGGCCATGATTTTTCATTTGTTTGTTTTTAATGGGTGTGTGTGATGATTCCTTATTGTGCCACTTGTACGTTGGGTCAGCCCACGAGCATAAAATAAAATCAAGATTAAGAAAAAGCTCATAGTTACTCACTTATTATATAGGGAAATATCTTGTGGGTAATTTACAACGTTTTTTCAAGTACATGTATTCCATATAAAATAATTTTTTAATCGCGTTTACATCAAGGAAAGAAAATAATGAAAATAAACAAATGAAATATATTTTCCAGAAATAATTACAAACACATAGATTTAAGAATTATATATAACTTTTGACGTCAAAGGTCTGATGCTTAGTTGTTTAAAGCGTATGTTTCTCTCGTGAAATAATTTCATAATTACAAAAGAACATAGGTGTAATTCGTCACGCCTTTTGTTCAGAAACATCTAAGTCTAATGAATACAGATATAGATTCAATGAAACATCATGTTGATTTCGTAGACACCGTTTGTAAGCAGATAGAGTTATAAGATTCGGTTTACTCGCTAAACAACATGTAAGTTTTAATTCACCAGTGAATATTTCATTTAGAGATGAAGTAACACCAAGTATTATTACTTTTGTAAATATAAAAGTATTATTTTTGTTTCTAAAATTATAACTTTCTACAATAATTAGCGGAACTGTCTTAAAAAACACATTGTCTTTCTTTTTTTTAATATTCTTTCAACTAAATTTGGTATGCAATTTTTACGTTTAACATAGAACATTAAAGCATAGTTTAAACATAGTCACTTAGAAAGTATTGTTATCAAGCTTTCTAACGCTAGCGAACACGCTGGTATATTTTACAAGCTAACCATTAGAGATTTTAACAAATCATTCCAATTGAAAAGGATTAATTTCAATTAAATATGACTAATATACGATATCAATTAATGATTTAGGAGGTGCTAGGTGTGTACCTCTCACTTTGATATAATTGTATAGTAAACTAATTCATGATCTTATTACATTATAGTACATTTACATGTATCATACAGATAACAACAGGTAGGAAACTGACTAATAAAGTTGTGAAAGTGATGCCTCTCAGCTGTACGTAAAGAATATTGAGAAATTTTCTTAATGAAACCAATAAATTATACGAAGATTAATGATATTTATCACGATTTCGATCTGACTTCGGGAAAATTTATCAGGAAAACATTTATTAGGAAACATTTCTATCAACTTTTGCTACACCATAATTATACAGTTTCGATTTAAATTGTTCATAAATTGATTATATACATAATAGAAAATGTTCATTCTTGCTTTGCCCTTTAGAAATCCTTACTGTTCAGTATGGTCTACTTAATTACGTTGTTTCAATCCTTAAAAATTCGTACTGATCTACTTTGTTTCAATCATTAAAGATCCATACTGGACTACTAAATTACGTTGCTTCAATCCGTATTAATCTTTTCAATTCCACCTGGCATGGCCTGATGGTTAGGGCACTTGACTCTCAATCTATAAGTCGTGGGTTTGAATCCAACCACTGAACATGCTTGCGCCTTTCAGCCATAAGGACGTTATAATATGACAGTCAATCCAATTATTCGTTCGTAAAATAGTAGCCCAAGAGTTGGCGGTGTTGACTAGCTGCCATCTTTATTGTATATTTCTTATAAATTAGGGGCAGATAGCTCTTAAGTAACTTTGCGCGAAATTCAACGAATAACACAAACTACTTTATTTCGATAATTAGAAACTCATACTTAATTACGTTGCTTTAATCATTTGAAATTCATACTAGTCGATTTAATTAAGTGAAAAACATTAATGAATCATTTTACATACACATATGGGTCAATGCACAGTGACATTTCAGGAAGGTCACGCCTAACAATTTACTACACAGAAGTAAGTGTATTGTTGATGTATTCACTAGCGAATATAATATTACAATAAATATAAAAATAACGTATTTTTGTTACACTCTACGCTAGTTTTTAAGTAGGTGTTCTTCATTAAGTTTGTTTTTATTGTATTCGTTTTTCCAATAACACGTTTTAAGTTTTGATATAAAGTGTTAACAACTTTAAAGTTTACATAACAACAGAATAAGTGTCAAGGTTTTATCATTTTAAGCTTTGGAAGGTGTTCTGTTAAAATTTTGAACTAGTGAATTGAAAAAGTATATTTCTACATCGTTAGGAATTCTTAATAAATTGACGACTACTTGTAACTTAATGACTTGGTGCCAAAAGAATCCCCTTAAAAAAGGTGTTACAAAGAAGCGTGTGGTGGCGTTACTGTGCCTGTAACACCATTTTGTGTTACTGGAATATAACACTATCTGGATATGTTCGTCAACAGTTTTAACTTAAAAACGAATATTAACATAAAATCCTAGCCTCTGTTTTGGATTGTAGTGGCGTAATAAAAGTAAATACAATTTACTTTTACGCAGCACTTTGATCGCTTTTATTATCATATCAACTATATGATGAGGGTAGACCTAAGATTTTATGAATTTTTTCCCTTTGCTAATATAAGACTGTAATCGTAGGCACCTAACATATAGGGCAGAAAATGTACATGCCCCCCATTTCCAGTTAATGTGCATACGCTATTATCAAAAACTATGTTACGTTTTAGCCTCTCCCCCCCCCCACTTTCCATCAGCCATGACTTTAATAACGCTTTGTATGAATAATATGGAATGTTATTAATGTGACCTACAGCAAGCTTGACCCATTTATGAGGTAACAGCACCAGGGGCGTTAGCCTCAAACAAGTAAATTGTAGTAAAATATTTAAAAAACCATGCTTCTGTGTTTTAATACTACAGCTGTTTCTATGGCAAAAGGGAGCGCATCTCTTTTAAAATTCAGGTCTCTGCAGTTTAAAAGTTCACCAAGCGTTCATAATGATATCTGAGTCGTAGATAGCTTGATCGAATTAATGGCCGATAACTTTTCACCTTGGAGAAGGACCAACTCTTGATAACGTTTAAATTTCTTAATAAGATGCTGGCAGATTATAAAGCCAGAAATTAGTAAATTGGTAGATCCTATAAGAGTATAGAACAGAACTATAGCCTCGTTTTAAAAACTTTTTCTTTTCCACCTTGAGGATAAATCTAGTAAACTTATCCTCAGAAAGGGCTTCTTAACCCTGTAACGTTGAGTTTAACATCTTCAATGCTATAGTAAACATGTTTAAATAGTTTAGAAAGTTGGAGAAACAATAATAGTACCAGAAGTTTACCCCCCCTTTTTATGGCACTTTGTCTAAAACGTAAACGGAGCTTACAATCAAGCACCGATACTAAATCTCTAGTCTAGAAAATATTTATAACCTTAGAATTTAGATTTTAAAAACAGATAACATGTTGTTTTTATAATTGTTTCAAGAACTCACAGATCACGATTTTTTTCCACGAACATTCACTATTATAATTCCTCCACAAAAATCAGTAACAAAACGCATATTTTTTCTAGTTATTATCTTACGAAACTTAATCAAGATATGAACTAAAGCTAAGTAATAGTTTTTGTCATCGAAATTAACGGTTGAAAATTTTTGCTTGTATGTTAATACAACGACGCCTCGGTACGTTTTTAATGTTGTTTTTTTTTGCCTATTGTGAGAATTTCATAATAACACTCAATATTTACCGAGTCATACTACTGGAATTATTGACTACAGCGCTGTCGTAATACGTACTCATTACGAATACGTTCTTGTGTTGCATGTCATGGAACGTAAGTTTTATTTTCTAACAACTATAGTGGTTCTGCTTGAACATTTATTATGTATTGCCTTTTTTCTCAGTGTTATATTTATACAATAGTCATGAATCTACAAAATAAAAGAGCTGTTATCTATATATGGCACTGGGTAGTAGATATAATAAAACATATAGGAAAAGAATTTTCTGAAAATTTTAAAACACAATAGTCACAGGTCAACTATTTTTAACATTACTTACCAAACATTTTTTAAAACATTAGATTTGTCTTTACAAATGACTTACTTTCGATGGTCCGTGCCAATATTTAAATTTATTTCTGGTTTACTTAAGCAAGAAATATGAGGCAGTATTTAAGTTTAAGAATCAGTTAATCCACTGATTGTCTTTTCAGTGCTACTTCAAGTGTTTCATATCACTGTTTTTAAATTGAGTAGCTAAGCAACCTTAGAAATAATTATTAGAACAATGATGTAGACAATTTATCCCTAAATCTGTGAAGTAATAAAAAATCACATTCTTCCCTCATATTTCTGAATTTACTTCTAGTTTTAAATCTTAAGTAAAATTTTTACAGAAATTATTTCATATAAAATTCATCTTCTTGTAATATTGCTGCCACTACTTTTAATCATAATCACATTTTAAATAACCTTTTATAGTTTCAAGTTTGGCTGTGCTGATGTTTGCTTTTTAAATAACAATATGGGGTGTATATGTTTCTTTGTATTAGAGAACATAAAACCATACAGAAATACAAGCTACGTGCCCGAAGTACATCAGCTGGGTTACTTTAATATATTTTGAAAATTAAAAAAAAAGTTTGGAACATTATAATTACACCTACACTGTTTACCAACTTACTTTTTTTTTTTAGAAATTATCATACGGTTATTTTAGCAGTAACATAATTTAATTTGGATATCAAAATATCATTCAGCACTTGAAGTTGCTCCATCTGCTCTGGGGTAAAGTTGACTAAGTTTTGCTTAACACTTGTTATAACACTATTTAACATTAACTTGGCTGAAGAAAGAATCTGTTTGGTTTGATTTTCATCAGAGACATAAGTTGAAGACATAAGATAAGTATCTGCTAACTGTGCAGCTTCTTCCAGGACTTCCTTGCTTTGATTAAAGTCCTTGGCCCAGTTCACCATTTGTGTAGCATTACGATGTGCTCTTTGTAAGTAATGAACTGCACGCTCTACATTTTCTTTAGTCTGGGTCTCTTCTGGTAAAGAAGTAAGGAGTTTTGCATATAGCCTCCAGCCTTTAGCACTTGTAGCTGAGGTGGCTGTCATTCGACCCATTATCTTCAACAGTTTTTCACGAAGCCTCGACGATGGACATCCATTAACATCTGAAATATTATCAACCACAGCCTGAACAAGGATTGCCAGTATTTCATCATCCGTATGCTTTTCCTTGATGTCTATAAGTCGATGCCAAGCATTAATGGCATCTTCAAAAGCACCAATATCAACCGAAACTACTAAAAGATTTTCCCATATTTTCCAGTTTTCAAAACTGTGTTTCAAAGCTTCGTGTAAAGTCTTCCAGGCACGGAATTTCTGTTTTGTTTTGATGTAAGCAATCGACAAATTGTTCCATGCTTCAAAATTATCGTTGTCGATATTAAGCATGCGACGATAAGCATGAGCAGCTACTTCAAAATCTTCACATTGATTAGCTGCAAATCCCAAAGAAGACCATACATCTAACTGTAAGCCATTTATTTCCAGTGTTTTCTTAAAATATTGAATGCAGTCTTTGTATTCTTTTCTTCGAAAATGAAAGTAACCTAATGACTTTTGTGCTCTGGCACTTCTGTGTTTTGACAATTCCCAAGCAGTGTGGTAATGATCTGGGTTGTTAGTAACATCTCCAAGATAACACCACATTAGTGGAGTTTCTTTGAGCTGTAGCTGATTTCGAATTACAGCTTCAGCTTTGTCATTTCTTTGCAAAAGATGATAGCAGCATATGACATCTTCCCAGAGCTCAAGCCGTAGAGAAACTTCAAGAGCACTCTTCACAGCTCCAAGGGAAAGAAACAGATTTGCCAAGTTTCTCTCCATTATCCACAAAGGAGAAATTTGTGTGCAATAAAACATTTCTAAACGGTCTTTCGCCGAGGGATTAATAGCCTTTACAGCATCAACACAATTTTGCATTTGTGTCATTGCTCTTTCCATTCGACGAGAATTTTTCTGTTCCATTCTTGTTCTCAGTAGTAAAGCTTGCATCTGAATGCACCAAATTAGTGGTTGAGATAATACACACTCCACAAATGCCATTATTTCCTCTTCAGTTAATGGATGAACAGCATTATTTTTCTGAACTTGGGTACATAATGCAAGGATAATCATCTGTTGTTCAGGACGTAAACTTTGAACCTCAGTATTTTTTTCATCTTCATATTTCACCTTATTTAGAAGTGTGTCATCATCTAGTTTTCGGTCCTTGGGAAGCCAATTTTCTTCTAATATAGTAAAATCAGAAAATTGAGGTTTAAAATCATGTTTTACATTTAGCAGCAACTGGGCTACTGGTTTCTGCTGAAAGTACGTTCTTCTTCCGAGTGCTCCAGTCAACTGAACATCCAACCCTGTTATTTTCTGTGCTTTTTCAATGAAATCCATGGCTTTCACACTTTCATAATAGTACATGTGTACATGAGCTGCCTCACAAAGAAAACAGGTTTGTAGCTTCCAATTCAGGTCTTCATATAGATACTTAAGACTGGAGGTTTCATTCAGTGCTAACATTATTTCTTTGTATAGTGATGAACATCTTGATGAAAGTGTCAGCTGATGAATAAATAAAACTCTCATCTTCCACCAACTATGTGTGTAGTAACTTTGTGAAGAAAAAGATACATCGCAAAGTAATATTTTTGCTAAGAACAACATTTCAGGATAATGCAAGAGATGATAAACAGTCTCTCCATCAATGGCTAAAGCATCCAAAGTCAATTTCTTCAAGTCTTTCACTGCAATAGTAGAGCAAGGATGGCAAGGAATTAATTCTGTTATGCATGTATTACATATTGGCCCAGTCCAGTTATTTTGCACAAAATATTGCAAAGAAGCAATACCAATAAAAAGCACTTCTCTCTGCTGAACCTCCCCACCTTCGGCTAGATACTGTTCAACACTTTTTTTAACTGTATCTGACCATGACGCTAAACCTTGATCCATGTTTGCCTTTGAGAAGCTTCTGAAAGTTAAAATTTTACCAACTTCTGGATCTTTCAGTATATCTTCATAATCCCCATCTACTAATTTTTTCACTAATACTGTCATCAGTTCACATGGTTCAGAGGTTTTGATGCACATAGATATTTGTGGATCATCAAGCACGTCATCACTGATAACATTATTAGTATTACTATTAGTAATAGTATTACATCCACAATTGTTTCTCTCGTCGTTCAGGGAAATATGTTCTACGCCGACATCCAGTTGTACGTCTTTGGCCATTTTTGTTTCATTTTGAGTGGAAGAACATCTAGGAATCAAACACAGTTTTTGAGATATCACTGATAGTTCACTCTGAATTGGTGTATTGGATTCCATATTTAATTAAAAGCAAAAAACAACAATGTTATAATACAAACTTTTAAGCCTAACTTGCGCTTAAACCGATGAGCACACAGTAAGTGACTAACGTGCCCTCTAGTGTAATTATAACTTTATATACGGTAAACTAATTCTAAAAAATAAAAAAATGAATCAATATATACATATATATATTAACATGAAGGTATAATTATGCGAAGGGAAAGAGTTTTTAATAAGAATATGTTTGAAAGATTGTAAGAGTAAGATTAACAAAAATAAGTTTCCAGTACATTGTGGTTTCTATGGGCCTTCAATAAAAACGTCATACAGTCTTATACTCAGGAAACTACTAAAACTTCTTATTTAAATTTACATAATACCATGTGTGCTATAAATAATTAATATCTATGAATATCATATTTTTTCATCTATTTTTTAAAGCTTAGTTACATTCTAATATCTAAAACAGAATAACCCCATTCAATGCAATTTTATTTACTAGATTTTATGTTTTTATTTCATTTTAGATATTCTAATAATTAAATCAAATGAATACTATTCAACATTATATTATTTCACCACATTATGAAAATTAAAACATAGGAACACTAATCAATGTTATTTTATTTACTACATTCTAATTGAATTATGATGAACACTGTTATTAAATATTATATTCTTATTTCTATGTTTTCAATATTTAAATTTAGACATTTTGCAGTGTTTTCTAGAGAGAGTTTTAGCCTAATTAATGGTGATGTATGACGCCTAGAAATATCCTGAGTGTCTAGATTTGACGTGAGTCTCGAGTTTTCGTGAGAATTTGGGGAACAAATATTGCACAAAAACACCAGAGTGAGTGAGTTAATCATTCAGGAAGTGAGTTTGTCAATTAATTTGTGAGTGAGCAAGATAGACAACGAGTCAATTAGTTAGTGTTTTTTTTAACACATATCGTCGGGAGTGGATGAAATACTATTATTATACACTCTTCTAATTCTTCAAAATCCCTAACATAATGTCTCATGACAAGTATAGTTAATTATAACTATGCTTTGCCAGTTTGTAAAAGGCATTCACACTGTAACAATTGCTGTCACAAAAAATAACTTATATAAATAGTGCTTCATCATTACTGAGTTAATTGTATCATAGCCAGCCAAAATAGCTAAATGGATGTGACGAATATAGTGTGGTTGAATTACTATTATTATATCCTCGTCTAATTCATGAATATCTCTAAAGGACTAGATTAAGAATGTAGTGCTAAAAATAATAGGTCTAACATAATGTCTTAGGACAAATATAACTAATTAAAATCATGCTTTGCCAACTTATAAAAGGCGTTACACCATAGCAATTGATGTTATAACAAATCACTTACATAAATTGTAGTCCGACTACTACTGTGTTAATTATGTTCAAGCTGGCCTGAAGAGCTCTGGATTGAGTAAAACGCGTCGTCGGCAATGGATATGACGAATATAGTGTGGTTGAATTACTATTCTTGAAAATCTCTAAGGGACTAGTTTAAATATGCGATGTTCCAAAAAAGAAAAAAATAGGCCTAACGCAATGCCTTATGACAAGTATAATTAATTAAAATCACCAAAAATATTTACTGAATAAATAGCTTACAGACAGTAACTAAGATAAATAAGAATATTTTGTGTTAATCAGAATTGTATCTGTACTTTGTTTTTAAACATATTTGATTAATGATATATTGATTGTAATGTCCGTTCATGAATAGTAACTCTTGTTGATTGCAAATAGTGACTTGTTTAATAATTATATAAATTTAAGTTTGATATATTTTTGCTTTATTTGTGTATTAGAATTGTTCATTTGGGTTCACAATCCATGGACAGTGTTGTTGGCTGTATTTTTGATATAATGATTTAGATGTTTTGTGTTGTTTACAAGAGGTAGTTTTGGCATGACATAGTGATGACGTATAACACTAATAAATTTCCCGAGTGTGTCATACTGGCTGATCCAGGATTTGAAAAAGGGGGGTTTGTGTGTCCAAATGAATGAACATCAAAAAGTTCAATTCCTGACACGAATTAGCAATAAGAAATCAGGTGACTAATACTTTCTGTTACCACGGGAATATCTTTCAATTTATTTACAGAACTCACTGTTAGAACCAGGATGTTGACGTGACCCCCGTGATCAAGCTATGTCAATCGCTGTTCGCTATTAGGCTAGAGAGAGTGATGGAATGTTTGATAGTCATACTGATGAAAAGTGCTCCTTCAGAGACCTCTAGTGGGTTTTAAATAATTCATAATATTTTGAAAGAAATAATATTTTACAGCTTTTTTTTTAAATTTTATACGTTACAGATGGTCCATACCGCTTTTCTACACAGTAATACGAGCATATCTGATAGCAAAAAAACAAATAAGTATAATATGTATACTAAATTATGTTGTTTTTTTTTACGTTGGACAGAAGGAGGTCTGGACCCTTGAGACCCTCCCATGGATTCATAAGTGGTACTTAGATTTGACGTAACGTCTTAAATTTTCGAGAGATTTAGGGAAAAACACCAGAGAGCGAGTTAATCAATAAATTAATCAGACAATGAATTAGTCAGTTAATCTGTGGGTCAACCAGTTAAAATGAATTAGTCAGTTAATCTGTGGGTCAACCAGTTAAAATGAATTAGTCAGTTAATCTGCGAGTCAACCAGTTAAAATGAATTAGTCAGTTAATCTGCGAGTCAACCAGTTAAAATGAATTAGTCAGTTAATCTGTGGGTCAACCAGTTAAAATGAGTTCGTGAGCCAGTTTAGCGCTGAAAATCTTGAGTTTGTGTTTCAACAAAGTACCGATAGAAACTGTTACAACAATATTACTGCTTTTTTTATTTTCAGTGCTGACTGAAGGATAGAAACCATTATTTAATGAAGACGACAAACAACTTCAGAAAAATGTTTGATTACTTGAACCCCACGTTTTAGCTTACGCCTTTATCAAGAGTCTGTGAACGTCACAGATTATCAAGCTGATTTTTAAATAACAGTAACCGAAAACGAAATACAGATACAACAATATAACGAAAAAAGTATACGTGATACTAGTATAGTCGAAGATTGTTGAGTCGTTGAACACATAAAAATAGATAAAATCATAATGATAGAATTAATAATCATAATAAAATTTTAAACGGGCCAGGCGTTGTACCTATTAATGGAAGGGCGTCTGGATTGAATCAAAATTATTCCTTATACTTCCTGTCGAGGATATTCTCACAATTTTCTAAAATTTTGATTGTGTAAGGTGTCCCATTGATTGTGCCGTGTGTTCTTTTAAATGATGTTCAGCGGTAGCTTCTTTGTTGTCAAGATTTCCAATTTGTTCGTTGAAACGATCGTGCATTGGACGATTGGATTCACCTATATATACACAGCGTGGTCACAAGTAAATAGACACCACCTTTTCATAAAAAATGAAAATTTTCAGTCATATTCATAT